AAAGAGAGAACAAAAAATTGAGGAAAAAAATCACAAAGTGAGTATATTGGCAAATGTCTATAAATGAGCAGATACCAAAATTAAAAGTATGAATGAATGATGTTATCCTTGCAGGTTTGGTAGACACAGATGCAATATAACAATTATATCACAAGAATCTTGGCATTCCCAGTGGTGTCAGCTGAGAGCTGATAAGGGGACAGAGACTCGGTCTCCAGCCAGTATTCAATGAATTGGAATCTACATTCATCTTAGTCTGGGTTTCTATTGCTTTGAGGAAATGCCACCACCAAAGCAAGCTGAGGAGGAAAGGGCTTATTGGGCTTACACTTCTGCCACAGTAGGCCACAGAAGGAAGTCAGGGCAGGAACTCAAGCAGGGCAGGAGCCTGGAGGCACAAGATGATCCTGAAGCCAAGGAGAGGTGCTGCTTACTGACTTGCTTTCCATTACTTGCTCAGCCTTCTTTCTTACAGAGCCCAGGACCACCAGTCCAGGCATGGCCCCATGCACATTGTCTGGGCCTCCCCTATTAATCTTTAATTGAGAAAATGACCTCCAGGCTCATCTACAGATGACCTTATCAACACATTTCCTGAATGTCCCTCATCTCTGATGACTTTAGCCTGTTTCAAGTTGACATAAAACTATCCAGCCCAATATTTAGCAAAATTCCTCTATAATTAATATTTGTATCTAAGTTTGGAAAGCTTCAAACTACCAGCTTCAATAGTTGTGGTATATGTTTTTTTGTTTGTAGAAATAAAAACTGATCCCGAGTAAAAACCAGAAAAGAATCTTGGCATTCTAATTGGCCTCTTCAGGAGGTAAATGTTCAACTCTTAGGGACTGGAACTTTATCAGGTAAAACAGAACACGAGATGGTTCCAATGTATAGGGCCAGAACACAGAGGAATACTAAAGTCATATGTTGCTAATATATGTCTTTAAGTTGAAGTGTGTTTCTTGTATGCAGCATAAGCATGTCTTCTTATCCATCCTGCTAGCCTGTGTCTTTTTATAGGTGAGCAGTCCCCGTTGGCAGTCTCTGGGTCCACTGCTGTGAGCAGTCCCCCTGCCTCAGGTATCCCTAAGTAGGGCATAGGAATCTGGCCTGAAACAGGCCCAAGCCAACCAAGTCAAATTTATAGTTCTTGAAAATTATTATTATCAACTACACAGAATAATAAGGAAATGCAGGTTTGTAATTAGTTACCTATTACAATCAAAATTGTAGTCATTTTAGCTATGTTATCGAAGTCAGAGATGTATTTTAGAAAGACAGGTGCTCTTCAAACATTTCTGAGATCCACAGAATATGACATTTAAGATGTTCTAATAACATGGGCTCTTTTTTTGAACAATGAAACATGTCTGCTACTGGAAGTACCAATCTACTTCAGAGAAGATGATGAGCATCAAAGAAACTCCACCTGGAGTTTACTTTCTTTGTGGGAAATTAAGTGAACTTGCCTCTACTCCTGAGGGTGTGCTGTCCAAATTGAACAAGCTGACATAAAAGTGGCTGTCAAACCTTGCCAAGACAAGCCCTTCAGAACATCCTACTTCACAGAAAAATTTGTCAGATATGTTAGGCCTGTAGGCTGAAGATGGATGACCCAATGTTGTAGAGGAACTTTTGGTGACTATTTAGGCAGCCAGCTGTTTCTATGATTTCTCACATTTTTTGAAAGTCGCTTGCTTATACTTCCTGCTTATGCATTTAATATTATTTCCTTCTTGGATCTCCTAAGGAGTTGAAGACTAGATAGTTATGGTTATATATTTCCTTGTTCACAAGTCTCAGAAAAGAAATGCAGTAAAGAGGTGAAAAGTGAAAAAGTTTGGGACACATTAAAAGATAATTTGATAATGCAAATTAAAATAGAAAGTAAATTAGGTACAACCTTTTGGACTCTCCAAGATAGGATAAATAATGGGGTATTTTCTTTGAATTTGTCAAATGCAAATGGACTAGACATTATTGATATATTTGGTTGTATATGTTGTATATAGTTGTTGTAATTATTATACATTGTTTTTCTTTTATTAGTTGTAGCCTTCTTTTTGTATTAGACAAAATAGGGATATTGTGGTGATACATTTTATATAATCTAATAAAGCTTTCCTGGGGATCAGATTGCCAAGCAAGCCACAACTGTAGAGGCCAGGCAGTAGGGGGTACACACTTTTAATCTCAGCAGCCACATCAGCCGTAGAAGCTGGGTGGTGGTGGTACACATTTTTAATCCCAGCACTAGAAGGTATATAAGACAGTAGCAGGGTCTCAGACCTGGCAATTAGCCTCCAGCCATCTTGAGGACAGGATTGCTCCAGCTATGGTAGAGGTGAGAGATCTCTGGTGGATTGGCTGCTTTGCTTTTATGATATTCAGCTTAAACCGCAATAACTGTCTCTGGAATTTTATTATTCATGTTACAAGATTCCAATGAAACTTAGAAAAAATTTAGGGCATATTTTTCACTCAACTGGAATATTCTGTAAGATAAGACAACTTTTCAAATACACATAAACTACCTTGAATAAACCAAGATGAGATAATTTGAACAAATCTGTAAAAAATAGGAGCATTGCTGAAAATTCTCAATAAAATGAAAATAAAATCCTTATTAGATACCTAAATGCACTCATTACTAAATTCCATCAGTTCTACAGTGAAGAATTACCATCAATTGTTCTCATATTGGTGCATAAAATAGGAAACAAAGAACACTTAGAATATAACGGATTATGTTCATAGAGTCATATTACCCTGATAGTCAAACCAGATAAAGACATAAGGAGAAGAAAATTATAAATCTAATTTCCCTATGAACATAGATGAAAATTTTCTTAATGAAAATACTTGAAAAACTGCTTTTCAGGCTGGCAAAAGTGTCAGAGAAACCATTCCCATCCCCCTGACACACACACACACACACACACACACACACACACACACACACACACACACACACACTCCCATTGTCAGGAGTCCCACGAGAACACCAAGCTACACTACCATAACATATATGCAGGGTCTGTGATTGTTGTTTCAGTTTCTGAGATCCTCATGAGTCAAGTTTAGTTTATTCTGTTCTTATGTTGTCCTCCACCCCTCTGATGCCTACATTCCTTCCCATCTAGCTTCTAATATTTGGATGTGTGTCTCTGCATCTGCTCCGATCAGTTCCTGGATGAAGCCTCTCTGATAATTGTTATAGGCACTCAAAAATTAATGTAACAGAATATCATTAGTAAATATTTCATTGATATCTAGCCTCTGATTCCTAACCCTCCAGGCAGTGTCAGCATGGGCTCCCTGTTGTGGTGTGGGTTTCAGGTTATCAGTCATCTGTTGGCCACTCCCACAAGTTCTCTGCCACCATTATCCCAGCACATCTTTCAGGCTGGACAAATTATAGGTCAAAGGTTTTGTGGTTGGGTGGGTGTCCCAACCCCTCCACTAGAAGCTTTGCCTGGTTACAGAAGATGGCAGGTTTAGGCTCTGTATACCTCATTACTGACACTCTTCATTTGAGTCACCCCCATAGATTTCAGGGAATTTCTACTGCACTAGATTTCCACATCACCACCAAATGTTCTCAGTTCTATTTGTCTCTCCCAGTACTCTCTCGCTCCATTCCTTTATCCGGTGTTCTTGTCCCAACCAGCTCCCAGTACACACACAAAATCTATTCTATTTCCTGCTCCCAGGGAGGTCCATGTTCCACCCCCAGAACCATCCTTGTTACTTAGCCTTTCTAGGTCTGTGACTCCTAACATGATTATCCTTTACTTAACAGCTAATGTTCACCTAAACTTGATTACATATCATGTTTGTCTTTCTGAGTCTGGTTTACCTAATTCAGGATGATTTTTGTACCAAGTCTTATTGTAACTTGTTATTCCATGTTTGGTTGATATCCCTCGGAGTCTTGAAGCAGATTTGGGGGAAGAGTTAAGTAGGGAGGGGGTTCTGGGAGGTGTAGAGGAAAGGGAAATGGCTTTTGGGATATAATGTATGAGAGTATAATAAAAATAATATTTCAAGAAACAAAATTTCCTTATCATTAAGCAGACTTTATTCCAGAAATAATACAGGGATGGTCTGACATATTCCAAACCAATAAATGTAATACATTATCACATAAATGGACTAAAGTACAGAAATCATATGATCATTGTATATGGAGAAAGTATTTTCATAAAAGTCCAACACTAATTCAAATAAAAATCCTAAAGGAACTTAGAACAGAAGGAACATCTCTCTCTGTCTCTCTGTCTCTGTCTCTGTCTCTGTCTCTGTCTCTCTCTCTCTCTCTCTCTCTCTCT